TCACAAAAAATTTTAGTGAAGCAAATTATACTATGACAAACCTGCCGCATAAGAGTACTCAACACAACGTACAGGTGCATCGTGTTTCCCCAAAATATCCTCCTTCCCAGCGTTAAAAACAAGCCTGAAGCACGAAAAAACCCAAATATAACTCCAGCCCATATCGAAAGAGCAGGACTTGCGGAATCGACCTCGACCAAAGCGGTGCAATTGCGATAACACACACTCAAGATCAAAAACTCCTAAAAGCTACGCGCTGAGATGCACAAGCCAACCTAACCATTCAAGCGGAAGATTTAAGTAGAAATGCCAAAAGTGACGAACCGGCGGACGGCATTATCGGCGCTGGCGCTGAATCCAGAGGAATCGTCATGGAAGCAGCAGTCGAGCACCGCGCCGCCGTGCATGAACTCCCCCCTGAGGACGTTGGCGCTGGCATCGTACAACCGCACGGTCTGAGCATCCGCGGAAACGAGGAACAGCATTCAGCTCCCCGAGCTCGAGCGTCATCAGGCGTAATCAAAGACGAATTGAAAGAATTGCTCACAAGTGAGGGCGCGGGCGCGCGTTTTACCTTGTCCCAAGAGGAGACGAGCAGGTGATCGCTGTGGTTGGAGAACCTGAGGTTGGAGATCCCGTCGGACGGCGGGCTCGAGAGCTCGCGCCCCGGCGCCGGCGGCAGGGCGGACGTCATCTTCCCCGGCGAGGCTGGCTGGGGGAGGACGGGGGGCGGGAGTGATTTTTCTAGGGTTTTTCGGGAGAAGACGGAGGCGAAGAGAGAGGGAAGAGAGATTCGAAAACGGGGCGGCGAGAAGTGGATTTGAATCGGAATCCGGTTTTGAAATTTGAATTATGGAAAGGGGCCCGTTTGGCTTCCCCCACTTTCCGTTGCGAATGCAAAAGCCGGAAGGCGAAATAACGTATGAAATTTTTGGAGGAAGCCTACAAGCCCAAAAAGGTATCGGCCTTTATTATTACACCCACCTAAACGCATAAATTTAATGTATTGTGACAAGGAAGCACTAAATTTCAAGTACACAAAAGAGATGGATTGATCGCATTTACCTTGTCATAAGATTCTATATAATTTTGGGATGGAGATGATGCCATGCTGATGCATCTCGATTATGTGAAGTTTGGATGTCAAGTGCTTTCGCGACAAGTCGGGGGCCCGGAGTTCAATTGGACGGGATCGAACGGCGGTGTTTCGAATTCACGTTTCGAATTGTCCTCCGCTTTTGTACTATTTCTTGGTGTCTCGACATAACAAATCACAAATTATGGATAATGACCTCATTTCTAGAAAGTTGATGATTGAGATTTTGTTTAGATATCGCCTGAAATGTCATCCGAGATGTAGAATTTATGTTTCGTTCTTATTCTTGACAATGGCATGATGGTGGTAATGCAATCGTGTCCTATCTTGCTTCACTGCTATTCTTGTTGACTTGTCACTTTGTGATGGGATATCATTTTATTGAAAAATATTTTTCCCTTTACATATTAAAAATTCATTTTTCTAAATTTAAGCATGCACATTTTTCTTTTTTTTACTGTAAATGGTTTTCTACTTGACTGATCATTATTGAGAAACAAAACGCATGAAAGTCCACAAAACTAATTCACGGAAAATTCTCACTCAAACAAACACACCTAAAGTATGTATTTTATTATCGGGTCAAAAATGAGAAAGAATGCTTAAAACTAATAGGAGTTTATGAAGATTTGGCATGATTTTTAAATGAAAAATTTATGATTTCATTTTTCATATTCTTGGGGTGATTAACTTTTGATTAAAACCAAGGGTGCGTTTGGCTCGGCTGTTGGGGAAAGTTTTTGGGAATATGTAGAGAATTTTAGGTTAAAGGGATTTTTCGATATGCAAATAATGTTTGGTAATTTGTAATTTAAAAGTGCATTGTAAAGCAATTTTGATTTAAATGGTGCTTAGAAATATCACACTTTACTTTTGCTATTTCAATGGCCGGCGAGGAATTGACGAGGTTGCTCAACCCTAGGCAACGGTGTCCGAAGTTGCGCAACATCAAGCAAGGCCGCCAATGCTAGATTTGGCCTTGCCGGCGACATAGCTCAAGGTGAGGATATTTATGAAATTATGAAAGTTTAGAGAGGGCAAACTCGGAAGAATTAGCATTTCATAAATGCTCAAAACTTAAAGCACCTCTGAATTTGCATTGATTTAAATGCCTTTAGGATATGTTTTGTTAAGCTTTCACAAGGGACTCTATGCCTCTAAAGTCCCTGAGGAAAAATTAAGGTGTTTGGTAAATTTTTTTATACCACTTGTATAATAGCCAACATTCGCAAAGGCTGAAACTCTGCCTTGGGCTTTTCGCATTTTCAGAATGCTATTGTGGGGTATAATAGTTGCATATTTTACTCTTGTCCTCTAAAAACACCTTTCGTCTTCTTCCTCATACATTCTCTATCCTCACTGGTCACCAAGGTTGCTATGGTTTGAGGATCGTTGACGGTCGAGGTCGAGGGTCGAGCAACGATAAAAAAAAACCTTGATTTAAAAGCCTTTAGGATATGTTTTGTTATGCTTTCACAAGGGACTCTATGCCTCTAAAGTCCCTTAGGAAAAAGTTAAGGCGTTTGGTAAATTTTTTTATACCACTTGTACAATTGCCAGCATTGGCAAAGCTGAAACTCTACCTTAGGCTTTCCGCATTTTCAGAATGCTATTGCGGGGTATAATAGTTGCATATTTTACTCTTGTCCTCCAAAAACACCTTTCATCTTCTTCCTCGTACATTCTCTATCCTCACTGGTCACCAAGGTTGCTATGGTTTGAGGATTGTTGACGGTCGAGGGTCGAGTGACCCAAATTTGGCCCTTTGGTGGCGGTCGTCGAGGTCGAGTGACTGGGTCACACCAACAGTAAAAAGGCGCTCATCATATGGTATTGTGTGACTTCGACAGCTATCATCTAGGGTCACGCGACCTCAACAATGGATTGTCGCTTCTCATTCAGGTTTGCTTGAGCTTCACTTGAACTTCGCTAGAGTTATTGTCTTATTGTCTGTTGCGGAAGCCAAGCGATCGAATAATAAAATTGACAGAATAAAGAAAATAAATCGGACACCAGATTTGCGTGGTTCGGTTATAGTGACCTATGTCCACGGGGAGAGCAGCACGAAATTCCACTATAGATTAAGCGATACAACGGAAATTACAACCACACTTAAGTCAATTAAATTCTCAAGCCCCAATTACACTTAATAGCTCATGCAGTGTTTAGCTCCATAATTTCTCACGAAATAATCTCTCAATCTCGCGAATGAATTATACACAAATTTTACCACAAGATTTAATCGCTACTAACACTTAAATTTTAGATGTAATTCCACGAATAAAATCATGAAGATAATCCACAAGCACTCGACAAAACGGTGCTTCAATATTTCTCCCTCTATCGACCAACAGAGCAACCCGCAAATATATATGTTCGTAATTCCACCGCTCGAAGGATTGCAACAAAGCGTCAAAGATAGCCACTGTACGTATAGGATAAGGAAACAAAATTGCAGTGAGTTTCGGTCAATCCAATTCAAGTTGATCGAATATTGTCCACACGTTGGACTTTCCAATTTCAGCCCAAGACTCTAGCATAATATGCGAAAGTTGATATTATCTTTGCAACTTTAACATGCCCAACTTTGATTTTTGATCAAGATTCCAAATCGTAATCTGCTTTGCTTAATCTCAAACTTTTCTATAATAAACCTGGCTTCTTTCTAATTTATCTCGAATCAAGTTTCGTTCACGGGTTCAAATTCGAGACATATTTTAATATTGTCACCTGATCTTTTCCACTTTTGTTCTTCTGTTTTTTAAACTAAAGTCCAAAGTCAAGTTTGTGGCAAAGAATACTCGCATTTTGTGAAAATCCTTTTTAACCTAAAGCCCTTTGCATCTATACAAAGGCATTTTGCAAAGGCTGAACCAAACACACCCTTAGAGGCTTTTGGAAATGCAAATGTATCTCCTACAAAGTTTAAAGAATATGTGGAACGGCATTTGTATTTACCCAATGGATTTTAATTCTAAAGCTCTTAGGAAAGTGGTTTCCAAATATGCATCCCAAATTTTAGGTGTTGAAAGTACCCAAATTTTAAGTGTTGAAAAGAAAAATTATAAAGAAAGACATGAAGTGCTCACATTTTCTCAAATAAAGACATAAAGTAATTATATCAATTTCAAAAAAGGGCTTAACATCACTACCCGGTCAATGGAATTTTCATCTTTTACTTTTTTGATTTCTTGCTTCCTTTTTTCCTTTGGTTGTATAGGTGAGGGAGCCAGTGGCCACTACTTCATCGCCAGTGGAGCATCAACGATGGCCGGCGGGGTTGGCACCCTTGCCGACCAAATGCGAGGGCCATCAGGAGAAGGCGATGACCCCTCTCTTAGATCTGGGCGAGGGTTGTCGACCCTCGCTCAAGTCTTGTTGGGGGTCGCTAGCCCTCTCACAAGTCTGGCTGAGGGGCAACAACCCTTGCTTAGCCCTCTCGTTTGTATTGGGTCAAGCGACTAAAGGAAAAAAAGAAGAAAGAAACAATAAAAAAGTAAACAAAAAAATGACAAAAAGGCTCTTGATCAGTCGGTGAGGTCAAACCCTTCTTTGAGATTAACATCCGCTTTGCGCCTTTATTTAAGAAAATGAGAGCATTTTATGTTCTTATTTGAAATAAGTTTTAGTTTAAGCCATTATTTGAAAATTTTTCCAATGTTCATGGTTGTCTATGCAATCATCTGAGTGGTTTTCAGATGACATGATTGGATTGATAATAGCAAAAGCGGTTATTGACGTGTAATTTCTTCTTCTTTTTTTGGTGTGTTTTTTTTTTTATGTGTTGGAATTGGAAGGCATGTGACTTGGCTTGGCTTGGGCTGACGTGTAATAATCCGTCTAATTATCTTCAGTGGAAATTTTAATTCGAAGGAAAAAACGAGAGAAGAAAAAAAAAAAAACGACGGAGAGAAATGAAACCGATCTGCAAGATGGCAAGAAATTGCACATCCTCCTCCTCCTCCCCATCCCCAGTTCGCAACAGATCGAGTTCCCCGCTCCACCTGCTCCTGCATTAAAAATTCTCAAATCGCCGTCCTCAATCGAACCCGATCCCAATCTCGCCCCGCAAAAACCCTAGCAAAATTCCTCCGGTCGCCGCCGATCCAGGCTCCGATTCCGTCGTCATCGCCTCGCACCCCCCATGCCATCGGTTCCGCCGCGTCCGGTCCCGTCGTCGATCTCCGGCTGATCGCGCCTCCGGTCGCTCCCTGCGCTCGGCGCGATGGTGGTCTGCAAATGCCGCAAGGTAACCGCGTCCCGATCCCCCGTAGCTCCCCCCGGCGCTTTGATTCCGGATTCGGCGATTGCCGGTGCGAGCGAGTCGTTGGTTGATTAGATCCAATTGGATTCCATTTCCGGATTTGATTTTTAGTGGCGGATGCGGGGGGGCAATTTGACAGTGCTCCTCCTCATCACCCGGGAGAATGCCGTAGGGAACCTGCCGTTTAGTAGGGGAGTGAATTGATGTAGATGTTTTCGGTGGGCTTTGGAGTGTTTGTTTGCAGTAGATAGATCATCTCCCAGGACCTGAGCTGAATTCAGTGTTGTATTTTCTTTTTTCGATTTACTGCCATGCGTTTTGTGATTCTAATGGAGGCTGATGTAGCTTGTCCATCGCCGTTTCAGGCTACAAAGTTATACTGCTTCGTGCACAAGGTCCCTGTGTGTGGAGAATGCATATGCTTTACGGAGCACCTTATATGCGTGGTGAGTGCATGGCTTTTCTTTCCTTTCGATAATAGTTACTAGTGACCACTTGGTTATTATCTTGTTGTGCGGTTCTCATTCTACCAATGACATGAATTCCACCTCTGAGAGGAGGGAAAATCACATGCTTAACACATGCAATTCCGAATCAACATCCTGTGCAATCAATATGCTTTGGTTGATAATGACCTTAACTTGTTAAAGCATCCGTGCCCAATAACATTGGTCACTTCACTTTAATTTCCTTTTGTGTTTAGTGTTGATAATCTTGGATTAGGTGCCACTGGGTCGATATCATGTTCGAAAATCGTTTTCGGGTGATTAAATCTCAATTATTAAGTGGATGGAGATTAGTGAATTTGGAGAACAGGGAAAATTATATACAATAAGATAAGTTCTGAGTTTTGAGAATTTGACAAAAAATTTCTAACCGACTGAAGAATACTGAAATGCCAAGGACCAGATGGTTAGTATATTTGCTCTTTCTCTTGAATGTGAGATTGTCATAGTTGCCCCTTTCTTCTGATTTCTGAAAGCATGGTGACTTGGCAACGAAGGGGGTATAAGATCCAATGTCATAGAAACCCGAATATTTCGGGTATGAGATGATCTAGTTATGGCCCTCCCATGTCACTCCTATGCATTGGCTTGTCTGAGCGATTTTCCGTCGGATGTATCTTATTTACTCAAAGCATAGCAAACATAGAGATATTTGTGTTCTTCAAGTGATGCAAGTTGATATACTTGTTTCTACACCGAATATGGTTCTTCTCTTTAATTTAATCTTTGTTCTTTAGTATGATTGGAGAATTTTGCGATGACCGTTCTCTTTGTAGGTTCGTACTTACTCTGAATGGGTTATAGATGGCGAGTACGATTGGCCTGCTAAATGCTGCCATTGTCAAGTTGCACTCGAAGAGGGGACCGGCCCTCAAACTACTCGACTTGGTTGCCTGCGTATGCGACTTGACGCGACTGTTGTCATTTACTATTTTACGTGCAGAATATTAGTCATCTAGAGGGTTTATTTCCTTGCAATTTGATATGTAACTAGCTTTTATGTTTTACTGGGTATTTCAGATGTCATACACACAAATTGCTTGGTTTCATATGTCCAAAGCTTTCCCCCTCACACTGCTCCAGCTGGTTATACATGTCCTGCGTGTTCCACACCGGTAAGACCAGTTAGATGCTGGAAGCATTCATTGTTTCATCCAGTCAATTTGAAAGTCATATCCAAATTCTTGAGTTGTTGAGTACGCGAACTTCTATTTACCTATTATTCACCTTGTTCTGCATATCTTTCTGTTTACTGTTCCGTTGGTAGACTTAGGAAGAACGTTATCTTGAAGCTGAGTTTTGTGGTCCTAGCTTTGTCACTTTGTGCTTAGTGCACACAGTTTTCATAAGCCATTTGATGGCTGATTGTTCCATAATTGTGTCTTGGGCTGATTAGGATGAGCATGGATGAGCTTATATCCATGCTTCTGCAAACTAGTTCGGGCCTGATTTGTAGAAGCAAAGGGCTGAAAAAAGAAAAACTGCGACATTTTTTTTGGGTTAATCATAACTGTTCTCCCATGGTCGATATTGTAATTTATCAAATCGGTGTTATCCACTTTCTAGCTGACTGTCACTCTGTGGTGCATCAAATTAGATGTTATCCACATTTCGTCACATTGCTAGTGTTGATATTCTATACTTTTAGAGGTTTTACTTTTTGAAGTGTGCTTCGATCATTAGGAGTTTGCTGTGTTCTTTTAGACAGTGTGTTCTCTTATGTGGTTTTTACTCCGTCAAGTGATACGTCCACTTTCCAGGAAATATACTAGTCTGTGCCACTCTATTATTCAAGTGTTAAGTATGAATATAATTATATATGCATGAGCAGACAAACATGTATCCTATCAAGCACATGAATTTGTACATTTTCAATAAGATATTCTTCCAGCATGCTGTGAAGCGCCGCTCATTTTTTTCCTGTCCATCTTCTTCCAGATATGGCCTCCCAAGAGTTTTAAGGATTCAGGATCACGTTTTCATTCTCAGCTGAAGGAAGCTATTGCGCAGGTGAGCTCTTCCCGCTTACCTCTAATTTTATACAAATGCAGTTTTAGTTTATATTTGGCAACAAATGTTGTCCACAACCTACTTTGACCATCTTCAGATGTTCTATTAAATGGACAGCACTTGCCATCCTCTTAGAAATTGTGTGTGCTTTTCACTATGCCCAGACTGATTTGACACCTCTCCAAGCACCACTTCACGTTAAACGCTTTAGTGTTCTTTCTGTCTCCTACCTGTTTAGTTTCTCATATTCTGTGTGCTGTAATTTTAGTTGTTGTCCATTAGAAATCAAAGATTAATTTGACATTGTTACAAATGTGCATCTGGCATTTCTTACGGAGGGGATCCACCTTACAGATTGGGGTTATAAAGGCAAAATGAATGGTGTTTTTTTAACTGGTCCAGTGATCCTTATCATCTCCGTGCTTCCATTTAGGAAGGGCCTTTTTCATTTACCTTGTCACTGTTATTACTCAAATATGAGATAGCTTAGACTAAAGTTTCAAGGACCTCAGATCTGAGTTTTCTGAGATGCATATTTGCTTTCTTCGAGGTTTCTTGTCTCACATTTTGGACTTGTTAACCTAACAGAGAGATGATTAAAAAATAGGTAATTTATCTTTACTTGATGAAAGCCCTTTCCACATAATGGTATTTGGAGTAATATGTGTGCTCGATTTACTTTGCCTTTTCCTTTATTTCATGGTACAAATTATTGTCTTTAGGTCCCATAGGTGACAGCAGATGTCAGTTTGTCATCAATTACTGTAGTCTGAGATACTATTTCTTTTCCATGTTCATCTAGTGATAGATGGACCACTCATGATGGTCCATCTTTGTATAAGGGCCATTTGACACATGGAGGGCTGGAGTTTAGGTTTCATTAGCCATTCTAGCGTCCTTCATTTTACTATTCATTCCCTGTTAAAGATCTGGCAGTACTGTGAGTGTGACACGAGTACTTTATTGGGAGTTAATTCATAAACGTATTAGGCCAAAGTGCTGATTTTCTGACCATGGGAACTGGAAGTGTCTAATATAGTGGTTACTTTTTCCCAGTCCTTGACTCGTGTTCATTAGAGTTTTGATTAATGTATTTTTTTTTTCAGACTGGTATGGAGAAGAACTTGTTTGGAAACCATCCAGTTGTAAAAACAGAGGCCCATGGACCTCCACATGCCTCAGATCTTTCAGTCACTGTGTCATCATCCTCTGCACCCTCAATGTTAACGGATGGAATGTATGCAAATGGACCTTCTTCAGATATTGTGGAGATAGATGTTCCCAGTTCAGCAGGAAATTTCATGAAAAGCTCAAGTCCTGTTGGTGTAAGGTTCTTTTTAATAGCAGTAGCATATATGATTCGTTCTTGGGTTCATTCATCTTTTTGGCAAGATATTGATGGCTTTTTGCAGAACATTCAGCTTGACATATATGTTATCTTGCTTTGACGATATTGCAATGCAGCCTGGTGCTACAACAAGAAAAGGTGCTTTCCAAGTTGATCGGCAAAATTCTGACACGTCATATTATGCTGACGATGAAGATGGGAATAAGAAGAAGTACAGTCGAAGAGGTGCGGTGGATGTGGATCATATAAATTATCCATTTTGTTTCTTGTGTTTCGCCTTATTTGGATTAGTGAAGCTGTTTACGATTTGAAGTGGTCTTAACTGTGAACACCAGCTGATATTTCAGTTTCAGTGATGGATCTTAAACTGTTAGATGCAGCGTGGTCTTTTGGATATTACCACCTCAACATGACTTCCCTTGGAAAATGGATGAAATTAAAGTGAGAGAGCAGAAAAATAGGAGAGAATATGCATGCACTTTGATTTTTCCTAATATACTTGGTGAAAACCTCCCTAAGCTTGATTTTAAAATCTTTCTTTGCAGGCCCATTTCGCCATAAATTCCTTAGGCTCTTGCTTCCTTTCTGGTCAAGTGCTTTGCCTACTCTGCCAGTGACTGCACCTCCACGCAAAGATTCATCAAATGCAGATGATGCTCCCGAAGGTCGCACACGGCATCAAAGACAATCGAGGATGGATCCAAGGAAGATGCTATTAGTTATTGCAATCATGTAATATCTGCCACTTATTATCTTGTGGTTCTCTTGTTTTATGATTATGCTCGCTTTTAAAAATGGGGGTGAGGGGGCAAAGGAAGATTTCAATGGGATAAAATATGCTATGGTTTGTCTTGCCCCTTGATTTACCTGATTTTACTAGGCTGCTGCCATTTTCCCCCTGGCAGCCGGAAAAGATGATTGTTATTCTAATTAACTGTTTTTAAACCTCTCTGAAGTACTCATTTGAGATAACATGCAAAAGTTTCCAGCTTTTTCTGCATTTTACAGGAAAGAGATGGGCTAGTTTACATTAATACCACGTGGCTTCAATCAATACAATTGTTACTCGAGCCGCAACATAACAAATTATTTCTATCTTTGGAGTTCAATCTTTAGTGATGTTTAGCATAATATTTAATGTATCAATAGAAATCTTATGTTTCTTAACATCCATTATTGGTCTTGTGATGAAATTTTTAATAATCTGTGCAGGGCATGTTTGGCAACTATGGGTATACTGTATTACAGAATTGCACAGAGGGGCTTTGTAGATGACCTGCACAATGATGAGCAGCAGTAATTGCGATGTCAGGCAATGGAATTGTGTGCGCAAGTTTTGTTTGTAGACATCCCGGTTAGTGGTATCCGCGGCTTCTGTTGTTCCCTGCTTGTCTCTTTAAATGGATCTGGTTCTAGTCATCTCTGGTAGGAAGGGAACCTCTGCATCTCTGTAGCTTGAGACCATAATTGTTTAATTGATGATACTTGATTATGGTATAAATCTTGTGCTGAAATGAGAGATTGGTTGAAGAGAGAACTATTTGGGTATGTTTTTATCTTGTGATACCTCCTCTTTAGCAAAACTTGCATGAGCTAAATTTTTTACCTATTTGACAAAAATAAGATACTTCACATTTGTCACCGGACTGCTTGTTTGCCAAACATTTGGAACTTCTTTTAACACTGGCCTTGGGGGGGGATCGTTCCTCTGAAATGCCCAAGATACTGTTGGTGACAGCTGCACTGTGCATGTCTCCTGGAGATTGTTGTAATTGAAGTATAATGGTGGATCGGTGGCATGTTCTGGTGTAATCCGCTGCAAACTCTGAATTAACTGGCGAGCCCAATCGAGGGATGAAGATACTTTGGGATATTTATACACTGCACTACATGTAGGACTTGACATCAATAACGTGTGAATTTAACACTGGTCATGGCCTGGCCACATAGAATGAGCGACTGGACGGTCTTTGGACCATAATCCTTACTGTTGAGGCGTCTTCCAGTAAATTTTTTGCTAGGATGGAACTGAAAGATTATGCAACTTGGGATGATTACAAATAATATCGAGAGATGAAACCTTAAGTGGCATGGAGCTTATATAGCATGCAAGGTGCGCCTGAGTTCAGTATTTTTTGGCTTGGAATCTGCGATCGCTAACCCTATAAGTTTTGGACCTTGTACCTACTTATGTAGTTTACGTTGTCCGGGTGACATGTCGGGCTTGTACACCGGGTAACGGTAGTGCTATAGACCAATATACCAATTGGGTGCTTCTACTTATAATATATGTCCTCTCTAAACAAAGATTTACCAGATCATTCCCGCGCCGAAACCATTTTCCGATTGAACGAAGTGGCACAGCCCATCTGAAGCAAAAAAGCAGAATGATAGCAGGACACCTGAAACTAAGCTTTGTTTAGGCAAAAAGAGATGGGGAAAATAACTTGGTAAGTGCATCACCCCCAGATTATTACTAAAGTCTCTCTCGTGCAGCCCATAAAGTTTCAACCCGAAACCGATAGGTTAGACGAGACAGCTTAGCCTTAGTGCTAGTTCCAGTTCCCCCTCCCCTTATTGACATTGTACGATAAACACGACTGGCCAAGATCTTCTGATGTTGAGGATTGCCAAAAACTGATGCCTTCCTTTCCTCTTTCCATTTTTCCACGTGGATTCGCTGTTGATAGGAATATTAACAGAAGTTGTGTACCCTTTTTGCGGAACATGAGATCGGATAGGATGTCTCTTGGTACGGTCATCACCTGAAACACGCTTGATGCATGGAGTTTCGATTTTAATCCTAGCCATTGCACCAAAATTCGCCTTTCTACTGCTTAGAGTTAGATCCACTCTATGTACACGTACCCGCCACACTCTCCGTTGTTTTTATTATGCAATTCAATTCTTTCTAGGCCCTATGTATATTAGAAAGATATCATAGGCCACACTTTGTCTAAGCTCTCTAGGCCCAACAATCAATGTTGACTCTCATTGGATTGGTTCAATACATTTTACATATCCGGTCCTACATCCAGATATTCTCCAAACGATGAATGGTAGACTAAAGACATTCACACTATTTCTCGTTCGACAATACAATTCCATACATTGTCCAGATGATGATGGCAACATTGGGGTGTATATACGCGGTTGAGCCAATTCCATTTACGCAAAAGCTTGAACTAATATGGAGAGTAATTTTGGGACTCGAGCAATCTGTGTTGAAAGCATTATGAATTCGAATCAAATTCACAAAATCGTTTTGGTTGGGTTTCTCTTTCCTAAACCTTAAATTGATAGTAAATTCCTTTTGGTTCGAATTCATTCTTTTGTTAACTCAACTGTGATTTAAACCATGCTAAAAATAGGAATTACATATTGAAGCTGAAGTGTTCTTTTTACGAATGAACGCAAAACTTTAGTCCGCTTCTATCAATCCGAATTGATTCTTCAGCTTTCTCGATCTTTTTCCTCACACCCCTAAAATGCATTTTGCTTCTTTGAATCGAGCAACTGCCAATTAACTTTGTCCCAAAACAAAATCAAAATAGAATAGAATAAATTCGAAGTTAAAAAAAATACCTGTCGGAGAGAAGGCATTGCGTTGTACTGCCAATTCACAAAGTCGTACTCTCAGAAATGGCATGGAAATGTGTGCTGAAACCAATTTCTTAAATCCTTGGGGAAAATGAAACACATCGATTGGTTCGATTTTTTCTTAATTTCGAAGAATCTCATCATCGTGCCGGCGCCATGGATCACCCCGAGCACAGATGTCAGTGACGCATACATAGAAGTGAGTCATCTTCAATTGGCCAATAAGGGTGTGTTTGGTAACTTATCAAATAGTGATTGATTCTATTCTTTTGTTTTCGAGAATAAAAAATAACAGAAATCCATTTGGTAAATTTTTTTTTATTTTCGGGCACAAATTTGTTTCTAGAATCAGTTTTGGAATAATTTGATTCTTAATTATGGGAACAAGAATTAGAAATAGAAGAGAGTTTTTTTTTCTTTTTCTTCTTTCTTGTTCTTCTTCTTTCCTAGCCAGTGGCCGGCAACCAGCGATCGGCCACAAGGTAGGGCCAGTGAGGGCCAGGGCTAGACCCTCGCGGCCTGGGCGAGGGTGGCCCTCGCCAGCCTTTTCCAGCCCTCGCCCGAGCCGATGAGGGCCGCCCTCGAGGCTTGGGCGAGGGCGGCAGCGAGGGTCCAGCCCTCGCCAGATCCGGCAAGGGTGGCCCTCGCCCAGACCGTGAGCCTCAACGGCAGCCCTCGTCTACTCGGGCGAGGGCTGGAAAAGGCCTGCGAGGGCGAGCCTCGCCCAAGCCATGAGGGTCCAGCCCTCGCCAGATCTGGCGAGGGCGGCCTCACCCAGGCCACGAGGGTCCAGCCCTTGCCCTCGCTGGCCTTGGCCTATGGTCGGCGACTCGGCCATGGCCAAGAAGGAGAATAAGAAAAAAAGAAAAAAAAAGAAATATTAAAATATTTAAAAATATTATTAATAAAAAGAAATTTTGTGCGATTACTAAATGCATTTATGTTCTTATTCTATTTTAGAAATGGAAATTTTGAGCTGTTACCAAACGCCTTCAAATGCTTAGAAATTATTTCCGGGAACAGAATAAAAAAAATCATTTCTGAGCATAAATTATTTTCGAGAACAGAATGGTTACCAAACACATCCTAAGAAGAAGAGGAGGAAGAAGAAGAAGCAGAATAGATCTCCAATCAATGCTTTTGACTTTGCTTCCTTCTTTCTATTAGGGAAGATCGTGTTCACGTCGGGCATTTATGGCAATGGACCACCAATAAATTAGTGTCATAAGGAAAAAAGAAGGAAGAGTTATGCATGTTGGTGCACAAAGCCAATCTATTATTCAATGAAATTTTCTTTGTTTTCCTTCTAAGTAAGAAGAATCTTCCAATTCGATGTGGCTTATAAACTACTTATTGTCATGACAAAGCACTAAGGGACGAAACTTGACTTTAATGAAGGCAAATATCACAGTATCACATCTTGGATATTGCTCATAAATGCATTGAAAGCACTAGCTACTAGCACGCAGAAAGCAAGCAGTTCAGATACATTGGAAATTCACGATCGTAATTGATCAGTGATTGGAAATCTTTCCCACTCTACTAGGCTGAATGCCCGTCGCTAAAGGGATGTTCGGGGACGGGCATCGTCGCTAGCTTGTAGCGACGACTTCTATTGCTTGTCCCTACTATTTTGTAGTCTTAATATTGTACGAGAGTCAGTCGGGTAGGTTTTCCCTGTTAGCTTTGTGTAGGTGCTGCTACTCCGTTTTAGAGTTTTTAGGAGGAAAAGGCGATGAGATTGTGCATGTCACTTGCGACTGATCCAAGACGTCCCTTAGTACTCACCGTATGCTTCTTTAATTTATTTTCACACTATATCTAGACATTGTTCGAGTGCTCGCGTAAACAAGTCACCAAACTCATAGAAGATATTAGCAGATTCATTTCATTTAAAGAAAGACAAGTTATCAAATTAATCCTCAAGGTTAATTTCACAACGAATATACAATATCCAATCAGCCACAGAACCACAACCATCAAAACAAAACTTCATGGATCTCTATTCCTCTCCTTTGATAGATAACTTGGATATGGTTCAAGGAATAAATGTCCATACAATATTGGATATCTTTTCTTCTTTTTTTTCCACTGTCGCCAACGAGGGTCGCCGGAGCTCGCTGGTCACTGGGCTAGGGCCGTGAAGCCCTCGCTCGGATGTGGGGGAGGCGCAAGTGGCCGCAGGTGAGGTCGCCTCGCCATGGCCTAGCCGGCCGCGGGCGAAGGCAACCTCGCCCGCGGCTAGTGAGGCCATGGCCGCCTTCTCCTGCGGCTAGCGAGGCTATCCTTGCCTAAATTTGGGCAAGGCGGCCTTGCTCGCTGCTGCCTAACGATACCATTATTAGGAGTGCAGGACCGGCAGATTTCCTTGCGGCAGGACTGTCAGAAGGTAATGGGCGGGTCAATCTCATTCTTGATCTCAATGAGGGCGTCAAGGACCATGGAACCGCACTCCTTGAGGTCGATTTGGTAGTCTTGGAGCTCTGTCTTCGAAGGCTTGTCGGGGTTCCATTGGTAGATCGAGCACGTCTTGAAATTGTTGGCGGACTTGGCCTTGGGATCGACCTTTTGAACTTGGGTCTCGCTCGTGTGGTGGTGGGCAAGGAGGAGACGGGCCACCGAGGACGTAGCCACCCTAGAGATTGGGATTGCTCGTTTCAAGATACCAATCGCCATTGTTGCAGAGATAGAGCAGCTGAATACATATTTGGCCGAGGGCAAGGCCAGCCTTGCCAGCCGTGGTCGAGGTCGCCTTTGCGTGTGGCTACTTGCGCCTCGTTCAGTGGCCCGCGAGCTCTTGCGACCCTCGCCAGCCATAGTGGAAAAAAAAGAAAAAGAAAAGAAGGAAAATAGAAGCAAACGGAAAAAGAAAATAATAAATTAAAATTTTCATTAAAAAATTATAAAAAATATCCACGTCAACACCAGCTGTGTTATTTAGGATGGCC